GAGCTTTCGCTCTTCACATTTAACAACGGAACGTTCTGATCGTTTCTACGCCGATACAGGCAGTCGTTTAAATTGAACACACAAAATAAGCAGTTGGTGATGTCAACCATCTTCGTTTTAATCAGTCAGAAACATCTTTTGCCGATTACATCTCGCAGTTCTATGCATGTAGCATTATTGAACCACTTGAAACGAGATCTAAATTATGTAGGTATAATCTTCATTTTATCCAATTTATTTTACATAAGTAGACTTATGTTTAGCTGGTAATGAAATAAAAGCCAAATCTATGCAAGACATGCTACTAAATGGTATTCTGGAGTGCACGATCGTGCATGCGAGGGCAACTGGCCGACCAATTGCCAACAAAAAATGTATTGTGTGATAAGATGCAATTTAGATGTTTGCAAAATCTTCTACCAAACGACCCGTGCTAAGTAAAGAAGTCCCAAGGTTTACCGTAACCTACTTATCAACAAGTATATCACTTAAATAGTGACAAAATTGGTAACACACACACACATTAATCATTATTCATGTACAATAAGCCGTTCTTTTGAGTCCAAGAAGAAGGACACAGCTCTATGTGTAATATATTTTTGAATATTTTCTCTGTGACCATATTTGATATGTAGAATAACATTTCTGCGTCTAACTTTTATCTTTAATTTTGTTATATTTGAGTAACAGTACTCCGCACAAATCAGTAATGTTTTTTTTATATATTTTTGAAATAAAGTAACAGATGACTCCTTATTGAGGATTAAAGGACGCCAAGTGGTAGAAAACTATAGTGTCTCCAACATTGGAAGATGCAATTAATCCTGGTACGGTTTATATGAAACGTTAGTTGAAGAACTGCACATCTGAAAATGATATTCTGGTGGATGTTTTATTACCTCGTTCATACAGACAACAATTGCCAACTCCCCATATCTAGCCAAAATTGGGATCCAAAGATGTCAAGTTATCGAAAATTATAGTGTCTTTAAGGGTCAAAGTTGAAATTCATCGTTTTCATGAAATAGTGGTTATAACTGTTTATCTATTGCAACCGAAAGTCTTCAAATTGTACCGAAGTAAATGAAAAGACCATATGGTGTAGTATCTGTTAACTTTATTTGCATTTCTGGGTATATTTGCCAAATATAAGTAAAAACCTTCTTTCTTTCACATTTCTAGTGATTATTTGATATCAAATCTTATACATGGCATCGCCATTGCTTAATGCGTTATTCTCGTTAAATTACAATTGTTTCGCCCACCACCAAGTCTCCCTTTACATACTAAATAACGGACCTTAATACATGTATCTGTCGTCTCTCTTACTCTTTATCATAGATGTCGTCTTATCTCAATAGCATTAAATTACCCTGTTCTCAAGTTACACTTAAAACATATTGCTTACGGTTATATCCGATTCCTACACGATGAAAAGAAAAAACAGAAGATTGCGAAAATAGCTTTATTTTTCGACTATCACAACGCCCTACAAGAACTTACTTTCTGAAGGTATTATTTTCAGTATCTAATTTATTGTCAGCTGTTTTTACAGTCTGTACACTTTGATACAAAGTGGTTTTGTTGTTGTGCTGTTGCTAGACACACTGTTTTGTTGAGAAAAAATAATTCCTTTCCTTGATTGAAATTGGTTTCAATTTGCAAAGACTTGGTTATCATACACGTTTATGAATATCAGTACCTATATTTATACGCAAAGAGCAGTAAAGCTGCTACATCAAGTACGAAGATAAGATCACCTACGTCATTATCGCTTGATATCAACTTTACTGTAATCACGTACTGTTACAATCATGGAACGCGATTTTTGGCGAGAAATTGTTGAGTTTAGAAGTGTGAAATCGCGCGATACGTGATATCCTCTGTTGTAGTGATTTTATTTTGAACTGAATCTGTATCAGGCGACTATGTTTGTACTTCTCAATATGATGGCTACGTAATACAGTTTGAATGTTTTATGTTAACAATTTTGCTAAAATGATGTGTTTTTTCTGAAATGCAAAAATTGATGTTTTAACATGTTTCTTAAGTACATGCATGTGACTTCCTGTGGAACAAAGTTGAATTATACCAAACGGTAACCCGCTTGGACTAGTTGTGATATAACGTTGATACGAAAAGACCATAACAAGAACCGGATGAACATCAAAACAAAAATTATGACATAGAAATAACTGTACTAGGAAAATATCTTTTAATGTAATAATTTTATCCTGAATTGAATAAATCTCACTATTGTTAGGATAGTGTAACACTTGCGTATCCACTTGTTGCGTATAATGCATTATCATTATATTGGCGTTGAGATCTTTGGATGAATAACCTTGTTCATTCAAGCTCGAGGTTTTTTTTTATGACATTTACAATCTTCACAGATCAACACTAATTCTCATGGTTTTTGTTCTTTCTTCTGGTGTGTTCATTACGGAAAGGTGTAAATGAGGAAAAGACGATAAAACATTTTACAATAGGTTTCGAAATAAGATATTGCATTTATGTAGTTGGTGTGTCAAGAAATAAAAAGTTACCATTGACTCTTTACCTGACAGATTGTTTGATATTCATTACCATTAATTTTAACTCTAAGGTGTTTGGGACGAGCAAGGAAAGAAACTGTATGTCTAGCGCACGTACACATCTGAAAATCAATAGCTAAATGCATTTAAAAGGTTGAAAATTTTCGTAGCACACGGGAAACAAATAAGAGTGGTTTCCCTTTCAACATTGTGAAATTGAACTTTTGAAATTTTTCGAATATTTTCTCCAAATAAAAATAAAACCTGTGCAGGCATTAAAAACGTTTTTGATTTCTAATGACCAGGAAAATCTGCGCTCGGGATTCAGTTATTTAAACTTTCAGGAGCATATTAATGATAAAAAATCGGTGTTGTTTGAATAATTTATAAAAAAATGAAAACAAAAGATGTTTGTTATGGGACTGAAATCATTGCTCTTGAATATAAATATTTGAATATATTGTTTATGAATGCACTTGATAGAGCATCGTTACATTTAGTCTGTTTTATGTAATTTCAGTGGTCATTTGTGTTATGTTTGTCAAAACTATTTGTTGATTCTAACCTGTGTTCGCAAAATCAATTTGCTTATTATAAATATTAAAAAAAACTATAACAAATACTTTAAAAGTTCTGTGATGTTGTAATTTTAGGATACACATGTTCTTCTTTCCAGTTTATGTATTAGTTCTGTTGAAAACAACCGGACTTTTTACCGTCATTAGGTTTGAATTTTTACTCCACTAAATATGGAAATTCTTATGTAATATAAAATCAACGTTATTTAGAAATAGCTAAATAGGATATTCCACAGCGAAGACATATCCCATCGTTTCTTTTTGATCGCATGGAATATCAAGATATAATTTACGATACTTTATTATCTTTTTCAACACTATATGTAAATGTAAAGTGTCCGTATGTAAATGTATATAAGTGTCATAAAACGAATAAAACAAAAACCGGATGTATTTTCGACACGGGAATATCGATATAATTACGTTAAGATCTGTCTTGATCTGTGATGATCCTCTCTCATTAAGAACATATACATAGTCCAGATTTCTATTTAGCAAGAAATTGTTTACATAACAAGCATTGCCATCATGTCTTCATATATCTATACAAAGACCTGGCAGTTGTTTCGTACTTGCACTACAATGCTCTGGTGTCGGGGAAGAAATGGCTGATTCTGACATGCGCGTGTCCTGACACCGTCACCACCCTGTATATGGTAATGGTTCTTCCGTCTCTTGCATTTCCTGTTCAAATATACGCCCTGCCAGTATTGTTTGATAGCATTCTGTTTGTCCTCCTCTGATAGTGTAACTGTACATAGGGGATGGGCGTTGTCCTCTGTTTGACGCACACGTTGACGTGACATCGGGGGGAAGTCGAGGTCTCCACTCAGTGACTTTAAGGAAGACGTTGTTGAAGACCCTGTATTTATTTGGCATGAATCTATCTTAACTAGTAATTTGTTTTGTAGTTTATTTCTAATTTTGTATTTATTTGTTAATTGTTTTTATTTCTGCGTTTGTGTAATTATGTGTTCATCTTCCTCTTTTTCTTTTATATTTCGTTTTTGTACTTTTAACTTCTTTGCTTTTTTTACCATTCGAACAATTATATGTTCTTTGTCTTTTAAAGGTTCAAAAAGAAACTCCGACGAATTACTTCAACCACGTGTAAGCAGGAACAGTCATGACATTAAACATCGACTTTGAAAAACAAAATGTCGGTAAAATGATTTCTTCCGTTGCTCGCACAGTCCATGTTGAAGCTTTCAGTAAGGGTTATGACAAGTTCATTGCTCAGTAACATTGCTTCTGTCACCGGTTACATTTGGATGACTTTGTCAATGTGTGTGCTATCGACGAGTGTGTTATACAGTTTAGCATTGTTAATACATGTAGATGTGCTATGTTACAACTACACGGTTGACATGTCATTTACTGACTTACAGTAACTGTTGTGTTGTCCGAAAAACATGAATTAGTATTGACTTAAATACAAATGTTCCCTTATTCTCGATATTGAAGTGTCTCTGTCGTCAGTGCAAACGATATTCCTGGTTAGCCTAACGCGCCAAAAGCCTTTTGCTTCTAACAATTGCCTCATGCTATTTGAGCTTCAAAATGACGCTGATCAAATTCCGTCCATAGCTTTATGAATGCAGTTATGTATGTATTTATGTAACTGTGAGATGACAGTATTATCGATTCACAGGGACATGTAGTATCCCAGCAGGGATATTCATTAATGTAATGGCAATTAAAGGTGAATTTCTTTAAAATGTTGATATATCTATTACCAAAATGATGACGTTTAAACCCTTAAAATGCACAGTGATCCGATCCATTCAGTATGGAGTGCTTCCATCATCAAGATCAACATTATTCGGAGCTGCAAACTGATGCATTTTGAAGCATAACAAACGTAATAAACAATAATTACGTACCAGAATGCTTTTATTAGTTAGACATCCATGATTCTGAAAATATTATAGTGACTCATTGATCAAAATCAACGATAAGTGAAGAGAAACAATTTCAGAGACATGTGTACAAAAATATTTTCCAATATTTTTTATTTTGTTTTTAAATTGATTATATTTTTTTTCCAAAATAATCCAATATTTGTTTTTCTGAGAGTTCAACTGAAAAACTCAAGCATTAAAATGTCGAGATTCCTTTGGTAGGTAACAACAGTGATATTTAAACCAGATAGTTAGCCACATTTACGTAATAACACAGCCTAAAATAATTACCTTTTCGTGAGACACAGTGTTATTGTTGTTGGCCAACTCAATTTCCACAGTGTGAATTTGATATCCAGTAATGCATTTGTTATTTCATGGGATGACCAATGATCGCAAGCTCGAAAGTTAATAGTCCTTAATGAGGTAAACTGTGCACCTGATTGAGTTACACACAAGAGTTGGCTGGAGGCTGTCGACTCATAATCCTCACAATTAATTGATAATGACGTCGTTTCTAATTTCATTAAAAGTTTTATTATTTCGTCATTATTGATGTTTTTTAAATTGTGTCCAACATAATAAAGTATCAAAACAACCCCTCTGTTGGGTAATCTTAATATCGCTCACGCTCTATCGTCTGGCGCAGGTATAAATTCGGTAGCCTCCAGTGTGATTTTATAATTCTAGTTTCCCAGGCATTTATTAACCACATTGTGACGTTGATACTTTGTACAGATCTTTAAGGTACGTTTTTCTCTATTACGAACGATCGTGCTCCCCCACCGCCGCTGACCTTTTTCTTCTGAAATGAGAAAAAGTAGTTATTTGTTAGAAGAGAATGTATATATAGTATAAATATATACCCAAGAGCTATTGGATTAAAAAGTTTAACAAATAAAATGCAGACATGACAATTTTCACGCGGTTTATTTTTGTTTTTTTAATGTGATTGGTATTGAGGTGTTCATTTCTGATATATGTTTGTACAATTGGGGTTATCTTAGAAAACAAATGAGGAGGATTTAATGTTTCCAAAGCAAAAGTTTGCATTTAAAGTGTAATAAGATATCTCAAAATAACTAAATTATTTGCGAGTTTATCAATGTTTGACAATTCCACGTTATATCCACAAAGGATAGAAGTGTAAGAGTTATCTTCTTATGGACACTTGTTGATTATGACGCACTGACACAATTGAAAGTCTCTTGACTCTGCAATTGTTACAACGCGTTACAGACCCTCTTCGTTTTTTATGGATAAATATTCGAAGAGCATGCTTTTGAAACCACTGAAATGGTTTAGTGGCAGTAACAAAGCATAGTATTCCGGATCCGTTAACGAGGTAAGCGGAGGATTGTATACTAAAAGAAGATAGTCGGTAGCCCCTAGTGTGATTTTATCATCGGTTTCTAAGATATAAGCACGTGATTACTGACTGGACATAGAATAATTAATACAGGTGTATAATGTATTATGAATTTTATGAAAGGGGTGAGAAAATCTTTGGAAAAGTAATTAACAAAGGCAGCCGGTTCGGAAATTTAATTATTTTCCCAACATTTTCGTATCCCGAGTAATATGTTCAGCTACAATATATACACATATAGCTGATATATCTGTTCCACCAGAAATTACGTTGTATTAACATCGGTGTCTATGCGACACATATCATCCTACTGTTGAATTTAGACACTTTATTTCGTGTGCAATATGATATATGATTCCTCGTGTGTGTATTTTACCGAAAAATAGTGCACAGCTGCTATTATAAATTTTCGTTGCTGCAGCCAATGGTAATGGTCTTTAATTCGACGTAAATGTTTGTCGAAACGATTAGAAATGTACATGCACGCGTGAACCTTCCTCGATAATACTCACTGATCTAGGACAAGTCACAGACGGTGAACGGCTCATTTGTTTGCATTTGTCATACACGGCAAAGGTGTTTCGAGGGACATGGCACGTGCATAGTTGATTGTCAAATAATTAATTTATATATTTAAGCCAATGTGAAGTATATTAACCTGTACTATCTTAAGAGATCGTATACGCAATATCACATGTAAATGCTTACCTGTAGCATCTAAACAGACCGGGTAAGCTGCTCTCTACACATAATTTTTCAAGCAGTTTTAAAGTCTTCTCGCTGTCTGATTCTGTATCTGATCTGCGTTCTACTACAGGGTATACATCTATATCACTTTCAGAGTCTGTAAAAAATAAGTGAAAAGATCAAATTAAAATCTCTTGAATGCATTTTTAACCTACAGTAAAGCTTTCTTATCTAATAAGCTGGATATGGATTACATGCACTATTTTTATATTTTCTAATAAACACGTAATAACAGACAAGTACTCATTTTTCTGTTCCATTCTGAGAGCAGTTTTTCTGTAACGCGTGCTTAGCATTTACGTCAACAGCTTTCAACTAAAAACGCCTGTCGAGCGTTCGGTTTAAAATGTTACGAATTACCAATTTATGCGAAACGAAACGGTGTTAAATATATTATCAAACTAATACAAAAGTAAACGGTAAACATTACACATACCAGATCACGTCGATGGTAAATGTCAGAGTTACTTGTTAGAATGTAATTAAAAGTAAGGCCGTGGTCAAACTGTTGCTGGTAAATTAATTAGTACCGCTTTTGGCATGGCACAGGGACATAGAATGCAAAATCCAATATAATCCTATAGCACCCATTGGCACCCCTAATGGCACGCCCTTAGGTAGGGGGTACCTATCGACGTTGCAGATGTTTCAGCGTATACATCTCCTAGCAACCGCTTCCATTTAATAGGGGTGGGGTATTGATCGACTAGACGTCGTGTGAGGTTTTCGCTATATCAGCACATTTATTGATATCGCAACCGGTTCCACAGGGTCTAGAACTTACCTCAACCTATGCTACAAGTTAAAGAATAACGATTAGACGAATTTGTGTAGAACATTTATAGTATCATCCTCACGATAGAATTAAGATGGGTTCACATTTATCCTTACATTGATTACCTACTCTAGCATAGACATTAATACAATATTCACATACATGTATACACGAGATCCGTTTACCACCCGGGCTATATAACTCTGGTAATCTGTCTTTGATGGCACTCTCTTTCCCATAAAACAGGGTCTTGAAACTAGACCGTTATAGGGAAGCTCACTCTCTCACAAATCGGGTACGTCTGATGCGCGGAGCAAAAAGCTCAATTGTTTCGGCAAGTTACGCCATTTTACATAACCGATTTGAAGGATAATGAACTTGCCTAGAATGGTATGATTTAAAGACTATAGGATCATACAGGTGATTGCACTCCATGACGATGTGACAAAGCGGTATTTTTTTTATACTACTGGTAGGCATGATGTCACAACAATCTATAAAGTGTTGACTGTAAAAAGCCAATGCAGTCAACCGATACGGCCAGTAACTGGACAATAGGTGTGATTTATATAAACTGTTCAATATAGGTATTGTTTTATTTTAAAAATCACTAAAGCCAATTTATGTAAATTTTATTTCGATGAACATATAAACTATGCATAAATCAATTGCCTGTGCACAATGCTTCATAGTAAAGTATAGGTCGATTTATACATGTTATTATTTCTGTGCGGTTTGGTTATACTCGTTTCGTTTAAGAGTACACTTGCTTTTCACCTTTTATTTGTAAAATCAGAATTATTTTTTCTCAAACGAGCCAGTCTTTGAAGGACTCGCACAACTGAATCAGCCAATCAGCAAGTGTTTCATACGATTGTAATTCCTACCTAAAATGTATACAGTGCCCTGAGTCATTCAAATATGTCGTTCTTGACATATTTTATATTGACAGAAATCTACAGATGTTGAACTTTAGAAAAACGTATAGTTTTAATAGATTTTAATATGTGATGGCGGATTGATATGGGGTCAAATGTCAGGGGATATTCCCGTCCCACTTCCGGTTATCAAAAGCAGACGCCTATAGCGCTCTTGTGTTGCATTTCCGTTGCACTTTGGTAACGTTTCCATACAACTTGTGTAGACGTCCCTCCAACAACGGACGTGTACGGGTCTGTATGCATAGTATTACGTGTTCATGTTAGTGATATTGTTTCCAGATATCTAAATAGATATGCAAGATATATTGCAATCCAATTGAATGAAACTTAACATAAAATACATATGTAATAAACAGTTTAGCCTAATTGAGTCGAATCTGATGTTTCGAATATCCCTTTTTACTCGAACAGGTCATCTGCCTGCGACTATTACCTTGCATATACAGTTTTAACTTAACGAATATGCCGAGCGAACATTAGTCAAATATCACTATATAATAGATAAATTCTGTTTCAACCGTAAACGCTTCCCTTTCAGACCACAAAAAGTTTACTTTGTAAACATATGTAAGATCTGATTATAAAATGCGAAACCTTTGTTGAATAATTTAGATATCAATATCCAATGTGTATTAGAAACCAAAATAATCTACTGAGAAAAGCAGCTCAATGTGTGCTAATTCGTGGAGATTTATAGTAAGGTAAACTTTGTTACATTTTTCTATCGTTGGGTCATGTGTAATATTACATGGTTTTCAAATCTTACCTGGCTGCCATGAAAGTGGATATTGTCTCTGGTCCCCTCTTTTGCCAAAACGACCCTGTGGTCGCCATTGTGGTGCTCCGTCACCGACGGTCAATGTGACAAAGAACACTACACACAGCACTGTTATAATTTCTGCTAGTTTCATCGCCTGTAACAGTTAAGGAAGTAAATTATCTACCAATACAATGCTTAAACAACAGATAAGCATAACACCAGTCTTTTAAAAGTAAACCGACATTAGGATACATTTGTAACATATATAGGATTTTGTGCGATATATTTGTACCTGTCCTATAGGACGAATGCTTTTAATATTCCTATCATCTTCGACAGTATGTTTTCTAGTTAGAATTGTGTTACAAGATATTTTCTTAAATTTCAATCTTTGTTAATATCGATTGACTGAAATATCAATACATATATTTTCGGCTTGGCAAGGGAGCTTAAATGGTAATGGCCATATATGTGTGATGGTATCACTTTCACACAGAGTACTCCTTAGACCCTTATCTGTGTGTTTCCAGAGGTAATCTCTCCGCAGGCTAATGGTCTGAGAGTATCTTTCGAGTTGCTAAGAAGTATCGGTGGACGAGGAAGGGAGGACTCTTGTTGTAGATAAGGATCTATATCTGTCCCACATTTGCTCAATGACATAGATGGTCTCGCATCATCAAGTCAGCAAATAGTTTATATAATGATCTGTTTCATTGATAAAATAAACGTTAGTCGACTATCCTGACTAATCAATGACAAACAAACACTTTTGATATAGAAGGTTTAACATGGTGAGTCAACAACTCGTGGCATATCATGCAAGAACAAGCATTGACGCTATATAATGCCTGCCAACAAAAGTGCTTCCACTAACCACAAAATGTACATAGAACAGCGGTGAAGGATTCAGACGAGACAAACTATTACGCTAAGAAAACAGAGAACAGCTCCGCAGGAACACCAAATATTTGATCGGTCGATAAGGATATAGTATGATCCTGTGTGGCACTTTTGAGGATAATCAAATTGCAAAAGATCTTGGTAATCAACCATTGCTCGCGGATAATGGCGAACCGTAGTTTGAACAAGGATAAATGGGTGACTATGACACGTGGTATCCTTATATGGCCTGATTGTTAGGGGGAAATGGTTGTCAAGGCGCGGGAATCATCTTCATGACAATATTCCCCACGACAATTTACAACCGACTCAAAGTCCATGCCTTATCAACAGCAACTCTTTGTCGAAGTACATTATTCGATTTTTTTTATGAATCTTTTATGAATTTTAGAAGGACTTTTGCTACGTTTTAAAAAATGTCCCGTACTAATTTTATCATAATACAATCGTTACAGATATATTTTTCATAAATATACTCCAGACAATTTCAAACATGTCTGATCTTAAACACAATAAATGAAAGACAAACCTGTGCAATGCCTTAAGTAACAAAATGCCTACGTTTGGTTAAGTTACGGCAATAACTGTAATTAATTAAAAGACCTAACAGAGTAAATAAAAAGCGTATACTTCCCATTATTTCTTTCTAGATGAATATTCACAAGTTTTACACAAATGCCTGTTATATTAACATACATTTGCTAATATTTACATATTTTTTAACTAAATCAATTACTATAACAGTGTCTACTTACGGAAAAGCAAACGGAGGGTGCCATGTCTACCGTCTTCACGGAGTTAACAACCAGAACTCTAAATGCCTCCCAAATGCCAATGACATGTTGTTACAACGATAAATAATGGTAATGTATAAAATTATTGATGACAGTCACACTGTTTTGATACCAACATGAATCCATATTGAACTCGATGATCTCGATGAACAGATGCATGCGTCGGTTTCATCTAAATATGCTATTGATTCTTAGAATAAATAAGAGAGAAGTTTAATTAGGCCTATGATTCAGTTGTGCTAGAGTGATTATAGACACTTGAAGCAGTGTATCCAACAGTGATCGCGTCCTAGCAAAATTACTTAACAACAAAAATATTTAAATGGCCTTGAAAATGTGTTTGTTGTAACATCAATAAATCAGGTGGTTGAACCACGCCAATCTGATTCAAATAAAAGTTTTCCATCGTTCTCCCAATATATACTACCATGGTATCTTAATGGTTGAAATAGCTATATGATGACATATTGTATTTACTACCAAATTGTATAGGTGCCATCACGTGAGTCTTTTACGTTCATCTTACATATGATGCAATGTAAATATGATGCAATGCAATTAAACATAAAGCCCTAACGAGCTTCATGCGGTATGGATGTAACCGATTTGTGTTCATACCGGCATAAAAATAAATAAAAAAAATACGAAATTCAATTCCTATTTGTTTACCATAGAAATGTCAAATGTATTTGTGAACAGTGCCCGGATAAAAATTGTGAAGACAAAATATGATGTATAAAATATTATTATTAGACATACCATATATCGTTCACACCGAATTGGTATTTCTACTATTACATGTATCTTTGATTATGACGTTTCAGGAATCACTGGACTCTTAGTAACAGAATGGTCATTTACATAAGCATGACATTGCTGACACATAACAAATACACTACAGATAGCCGTGGAGGCGAACTCGAGACCGACCTAACACAATTAATCTAAGATGTATTGCTAGGAAACTGCGTGGCGTTCTAGACTAAACAAAGACGACCCAATACAATAGATAGTATGCGGAAAGGTTGATCCACTTGATTTGATTTCCTTCATTAATTACGTCAGGTGGTGATGGTTTCTAGGGGAGAGACAGCAGTTTGCCATTTTATCCAATACAAGACGAGCACGTCGTTGACACTTACTAAGAATTTAGCATTGAATGTTAATTTTTACCCTTAACAAATGATGCAAAAAATCAGTATTTATCGTTGAACAAACGATACATTGTTAAAAGGCTTCAGAATTTAGTAATTCTGTGAATACAAATATGTGAATCTTTCGTATTCTTGTCTTTAACTCCATTGTACGAGTCTTGACTACAAGATGATTTGATAAGTTTCAACCAGTTTTCGATATGGAGTGAAGTGTCTTTTTCAGCATAATACATGTACAATGCAAAATAATATGCCCGTTTTTTGCGTTTTATAACGAAATTGAAACAGAAGGAGAGAGAACGATAGACTATACAAAACTTGGCATAAACCTTATATATTTAAGAACGATGGCCAAAGGATAACTTCATATAGCCTCAAACATCCATATATATATATACCATCCTTGCCGAGCTGAGAACTGAAAAGAAACCAACGGACTTTTCCTTCTGTGAATATCAATTTACATTGCTCTCGCTAAACAAGAGACAATCTCCGTCAATGCTGATGTGTTTATATCACAGCATATACTGTAAAGTTGATACCAAGTCTTAAGAAAATCAGATTGACGCTTAGTGACAATTTGTTCGGCCAAGTTTATGATTTATCAAGTAATTAGCAAACGTTTATATTTAGGTAAGCAATCAATAGATCAAGATGTCTGTTACTTAAGTCGATATACAAGTTAAAGAAATAGAATGTGTAGTAATGGACATAACCTGAATACGTGTAACTTACAAAATATACATAAATGTATATATATCTGTAAGCAACCATTTGAATCATATGCATGTTACAAATACATATTGTGTATTGTTGTATATTAACTCAGAGAGGGGTACAACTCCCGCGTAGTATTGTCGCATGGCGTACGTATATATATATGTGTGTGTTATCTATAGAAGATGCAAAGTATGGAGTTACTAACACGATTTGCAGCAAACATGCTAATCTTTAGCCATTTAAAAACAAGAAAGAGATATGAAAAATAATATAGATCAAGGAAACATTTGTTTTATACATTTTACCTACGCATCGTAGATACGCATCATACTCTTTTATTGTGATGAACCCGAATCGTCTATCACATAGTTACAAGCATTTCATGTTTAAGACTAACGTCATGTGTGCGTTTATATATTTTGATAGTGTATATTATGCTCACCCGTCATTTCATTTTACCCATTTCTTCGGTTAACGACATTTTGATGTACAATTGTGTCTGGGAAAGATTACGAGCAAATGTGTATGATATGATACACACATAAAACTGAAACACAACAATAATGACATTCGATGTTGGTAGTCATGTATCGGAATTCAATATTGCTAATTGCTATGACTGGCCGAAATGTCTCCAATATGCCAGATAAAAGTAAACGGAAAGGTATATCAATTCCACTCTCATATAACGCCTAATGGCGCCTTGAGTCAATGAATCCAGACCTTTAAATTATTCAATCAACTTTTTGGACCACCCAAGTCTTCTCAAATGTCAGAATACATTTCAGTTTCTAAATACAATGTGTTGTCTCAATCGTACGGACATATTCTTAATTTCAGCTTCAGAAAAAAATCTCTATGTCATACATGTACACATAACTGTATACTATTGTTTAAGACAATACTACTGTAATCACACTATTGATAAGGGGAATACGAATTGGAATTGTAACCATAAGTTTCAGTTTTAAGTAAAAACATTCAATGATCATTTTGAAATAATTTCCAAGACATAGCTATAAAATGCATAAAAGCGCTTGTGATTAATATTTTGGTCCGACCGTACGCCATTCCGTGGAATATTTGTTATCGACTAGAGAGAGATTCGTTTATGAACTACATATCCCATTTACATTACACAAAATCACAGTTTATTTTTTATCGACCAACCTATAGGATTAAGGGTCCTTTAATGTTTCGTTATCGTACATTGTATACGCTAATTATTCACTTACGACGTGATTTGGCCATTTTGGTGGAATCAAGCGACGGCAGTATCAATAAACATGATATCAATGAGGCCTACACGGATATCGAATTATAACCACTATAAACATGCAATGAGAGCGGTTTATTGACATCGGAAAAATAATTGTTTGAAAATATTGAAAAGACAAAATCTACAAAGTGGCCTTTTCAAAATGTATTTTACGGGGGGCCTTCGGGACGTTTTTAAAATAAACATCTTAAAAAATGAGATCGAGCTAATACGAACGAACAATTTATATTTCAATCAGTTCGCCAATATTATGTAAAACAGAAATAAACGTCAGAAAGTTACAGAAGTACATAATTATTTATATCAC